AGAATGGTTTGGGTTGGAAAGGAACTTCATGGAATTAAAGAACAGTTTGGGTTGGAGGGGACTTTTCATGGAGTCATAGAATGTTTGGGGTTGGAAAGGACCTTCATGGAGTCATAGAATGGTTTGGGTTGGAAGTGACCTTCATAGCATCACAGCATGGTTTGGGTTGGAAGAGACCTATAGGGACGTGATGACACTGATGGAACAGATAAGCTGTCCTGTTACCCCGAGTCAGTGCTTTTCCACCCTTCTGCCAAAAGCATTTTCTCCGATTAAGCTTTGCAAAACACAATTATGTTGCTTTAATTAACTGCAGCATTCACTAATCTAGCCACGAGCATTCTCTCCAGGCCATATTTTCTAAGAGGTCCCATTTGAACATGACCAGATGGGTTGGGAGGTGCAATACCTGCACACCCACCATCGTGATGCTTCACACATCAACCACTCAATCAGAAATCTAGGGCCAAACTGGGCATCATCCTGAACCTAAGCAACTTCCTTCCAGCAAATCGCTCCCTCCTTGTCCATGGGGCTCGGTGACCTCCCAGCCCTGCACCGCCAACGGGGATGGGGCAGCACGACAGCACAGCATGCTCCCCAGCATGCAAAACCCCACTGTCTTCTCAGCTGGTTTTCCCCTTTGCAATTGCTCCTGATTGCTGCAGTCTGACCTTCGAGCCCCACGGCCAGGGAGCCCCAATTTGGGGACAGCTCTTTGTCCCCAGGGCCAATCCCACCACCAGAGCAGGTGTCCCCCCACCCCTCTCACCATCTTCTGCAGCTCCTCCGCAGACTCCTGCACCCTTTCCCGGTCGTTGCTGTCCACCACAAAGATGAGACCCTATGGGAAAAGCCAGTCTGCAGCAGGCATGGGCTTTGACACGCGGCGCAAACACCCCCAGCACTGTGGGAGGGTGTCACCCCCACTGTCCCACCAAAGGACCTTCTTATTTCAGAGCCTTCCTTCCCCACAGGAACACCCTTGTGGTCCCATCCGGATGGCTGGAACTGGTGCTGTGCCACTTACCTGTGTGTTCTGGAAGTAGTGCCTCCAGAGGGGCCGGATCTTGTCCTGGCCTCCTACATCCCACACCGTGAAGCAGATGTTCTTGTACTCCACCGTCTCCACGTTGAACCCTGCAGGGATGTGGGGACAGGTGGGGAGCACCGCGGTGGGGGCTGAGTGCGTGGCTGCATCCCCCTAGGAGCATCCTCACCCATGGGTTGACCATCTCCAAAAAGCACCAGGAGGGATTCTGAGCATCCCTTACTCCGAAGCCCTCACCCAGCACCTCCAACCAGACCCAGTCAATTGCCCCAGGAGCATCCATGATGTGACCCCCACTATGACCCCCCTACGTCCCCAACCCACTTGAGGAGCACCAGAGCCCAGCCATGTCCCAGCAGAGCAATGCTCTGCCCAAAGCATCGCTGCCAACCCAATGCTGGTGCCCTCTGGCAGCAGTTCGGGCTGTGGGTGCCCGTTGAGAGGGGCCCTGCACAGCGCTGGGCGCTCACCAATGGTGGGGATGGTGGTGACGATCTCTCCCAGCTTCAGCTTGTACAGGATGGTGGTTTTGCCTGCAGCGTCCAACCCCACTGCAATGGAGATATGGCGTCACCAGCACCGCTCCCTGCACTGGCCCCATTTCCATCCTCGTCTTCACTCATCTTCATCCTCATCTTCATTCCATCCTCATCTTCACCCGCATCCCCATCTGCATCTTCATCCCATCTTCATCGCCGTCTTCAACACCACTCTCATCTCATTTTCATCCTCATTCTCGTCTTCATCCCATCTTCACCCTCATCCTCATCCCATCTTCACCCACATCCTCATCCCATCTACCTCTTCATCCTCATCTATTCAACCCCACTCCATCTTCATCTTCATTCTCATCGCCATTCAGTCCTCACTCTCATCCCCATCCCCATCCCCAACCCCACCTCCATCTCATCCTCATCTCATCCCCATCCTTATCCCATCTTCATCTTCATCCCCATCCTCACCTCATTTTCCTCTTCATCCTTATCTACACCCCCATCTCCATCTCATCTCCATTCTCATTCTTATTGTCATTCCATCTTCATTCTCATCCCCATCCCATCTTCATCCCCATCCCATCCTCATCCTTATTTTCATCCCTATCCCATCCTCATCTTCACCCATACCCTCGTCTTGTCTTCCTCTTCATCCTTATCTTCCATCCCATCTCCATCTCCGTCTCACTTTCATCTTCATCCCCATCTTCATCCCATCCCCATTCCATCTTCATCCTCATTCCCATCCCCATTCCCATTCCCAACCCCATTTCCATCACATATTCATCCTCACACTCATCTTCACTCCATCCTCATCCCCATCCTATCCCATCCCCATCCCCATCCCCATCCTCATCCCCAACCCCATCCCCATCCCATCCTCTTTCTCATCTTAACCCCATCCCTATCCCATCTTCCTCTTCACCCATTACATCCCCATCCCCTCTTCCTCTTCATCCTTATCTTCAACCCCATCCCCATCTCATCTTCGTCTTCATAATCACTGTCATTCTATCCTCATTCTCATCCCCATCCCATCTTCACCTACATTCCCTTCCCCAACCCCATCCCCATCTCATCCTCATCCTCATCTTCATCCCCATCCCTATCCCACCTTCATTGTCATCCACATCCTCATCCCATCTGCCTCTTCATCCTCATCTATTCAACACCGCCCCATCTTCATCTTCATTCTCATTG